AAAGTTACTTTGCAATTAAGTGCTTTTGTGATTAAGCCAACAGATAACAGATTAATAGGAAATCTAGGAACATGAAGAACTGAGGAGAGTTTAATATTGGAAGTACAGTCAATAGAACCTGTGCCAGCAATTGGTACTAAAGAGTCATCCGCAATGTGAATTTTGTCTGTGCCTTGATACTTAAAATATGTGAGGAAATGTTTTATAGAGCCTGTTGTATGTTTATTTGCTCCTCAATCTATAACCCAAGAGGGTTTTCAATTTTTGCAAGAAAGGTAAGGAAAGCATTGCCTGAATTAACAAAATTAGATGCTGCAATCTGAGTTGAGGATGAATCAAGTTGTGGCAACAATCATTTCAAGGACTGAATCTTCTTATCAGAAAAGTTTCCAGCAGTAGATGGTTCCTCAGATAAAGCTCCACTATCGGATATGTGTGCCTATGGTCTAGAAGAACTGACCCGCTTTCCTCCATGCCCTTTAGTTGGGAGTCCATGTAATTTCCAGCAGAACTCCTTAGTATGCCTGTTCTTACCGCAATAGTCACAAAATAATTGCTCTCTATCTGAAGAACTGCTCTTTGCAGTCTAGATATGTTCTCTTGCAGAATTAGCAATCAACCCTGCTTTGTCAATGTTAGATCTGTGAACCATAGAGTTCCTCCTAGTCTCCTCTTACTGTGCAAATGAGGATTCTTGTCGTAAGAATGGAAAAGGATCTCATCCAAGAACTTGGACTCGAATCTGATCATACTCATTATTTAGGCCAGCCAGAAAATCATAAACACATTCTACTTCAATCAACTTCTGAACTTGAGTCGCATCATCAGTACATCTTGCTTGAAAGTCTTGATAATAATCCAGTTCCTGCCATAGCCCACTAAGTTTAACAAAATACTGAGCGATATTCAGATTTCCCTACTTGGTTTCATGAACTTTCTGTCGCAATTCATACTTCTGAGCATAGTTTCCAGTTTGTGAATACGTCTGTGAAGCAGCATCCCATATCTTCTTAGTCTGTGAAGCAGCATCCCATATCTTCTTAGCTGTATCAAGAAGCAAATATCCTTGAGAAATAGTTGGCTGCATGAAATTTATTAACCAAGACATAATAAGAAAATTCTCGGATTTCCACTTGTTAAAGGGCGAATCTGTCGAAACTGGTTTACTTGCTCCACCATCAAGGTATCCCTGCAAACCTCTAGCTTCAATGAGTAATAAACAAGACCGAGACCAAGCCAGGTAGTTTGTTCCATCTACTTCACCAGACTAATTTGAAGTGAGGGGCTCTTTGAGTACAAAACCATATCTACCTTCTTTTTGTCAACCATATTTAAAAAAAAAAAATTTAAACGGTAGCAGTGGTAAAAAAGGCAGCAGTGGTAAAAGGCAGCAGTAGTGATGGAAAGGGAAAAAATTCCAAAAAAGGCAAAACTGATGCTGAAGAACCAGTAGGTCTGAGTCGCCACACCGAGTTGAGGTCGTCGGAACAAAAATCATTGATAGAGCTCAACGCAAATACTCGCACGAGCCGGCGCGTGAAGAACAGCAAGAATATTCTGGAGGCGCGTGTGCACACGCGCGTGGTCGGACGGTGATGCGGTTTGGATGGAGTGTCGATCGGCGGTCGTTCTTCCTTCTGAGACGGGCGGTGACGACCAACTCCCACATCCGATGGTGTTGTGTGTATCTTAGACCACTTTGTAAACTGAAACCTTTGCCGAAAAATTCGCAGCAATGGCTCTGATACCATGTAGAAATTAAAGGAAAGAATATGTTTTATTCATTTCAATTGCGTTATATTTTTCAACCTCTACCCCACTATATATATACAAAAAATTGTTCCAATATAGGAAGTAATCTAAATAGGAATAAACCTAAACTAGGAAACACAATCTTTACACTAAATAGGAATAAACCTAAACTAGGAAATATAATATTTACTTTAATCACAAAGATTTCAACATAAACCAAAGGAACTTCATGTTCAATAAAAATGGCCTCAAGCCCAATTTCATCAACCTTCAAATATCATAAGTTAATTTCAATAATAGTACTCTAGACTAGTATCAATATATTACAGAAAAGAAAATTTAATAAGTAATACATCAATAATTTCTAAATTTTATTGCACATGACTATCGCGATTGCGGAACAATTTAAGAATTTAAAATTTCACTTCAATACACTGAGCAAAATTAATCAAGGTTTCATTTTCAACATTTCCTCTAGATGTCGGGTGGCAAAGAATTACGAGATAATGGAAGACTTGTAACCTGGAAAAATATTAAGGCAGGGATGAGCGCTTCAACTCAGTGAGTAGGTTAGTAACTCTCTCATTCCACACAATCACACAAATGCGCAAATAAAGAAATCTAGTCATCCAACTAGTTTTATGATCATGTAGTCGATCACACAAATGACAAAACAACAGCAATCACAAATAATAACACCTTCACATAATCACATCACGTGGAAATTGGTCAGTGGCGTCACATCACGTGGAATATTGGAAATTGGTCAGTGGCGTCACCAAAACCCCGACGAGCTGTCCTCACACATGGCCTGCCCTCTCATTATGTGTGCACCAGGGAGCCGATCCCTTATACATGACCGACCAGTCTCAACCTCACTTGACCAGTCCTCTCATTTTTTTATATTCTCTTTTCTATTCATACCAACAGGAGGCCACCCCATGATTTTCCATATCATATTTCATCAGATGCACACAGGGACGCCGATCTCCCCACACGTGACCGACGACATCATAGATTGCCCTCACAAACTCAACGGTGACCACTTCATCCTTATTCCACATATGCAAAGCATACATGAAGCACATCACAACTAATCAAACCATTTTCAATAGCAATAAATAATGCAACATAAATAACAATTTAATAAGTAATGCATGTCTAGCATTTAGCCGTGTATGCATGGATGCAAATGCAAGTGGATGATGCGAATTATCTAACACTACTCACAGGATGCAAATGCAAGTGGATGATGCGAATTATCTAACACTACTCACAGTTTTATAGTTTAGCTGGAAGTTGTGCTCCTCTCTCGATATCCTGTTATCTGATAATTGATTCCTCGGAACCCGCAACAATAACTAAAGAAGGAACCAGAATAAGTTTACTATTCATGAGATCTATCTTTCCTTTCTAAATCAACTTTTCCCTCATCGTTTAATCACAATATTCGAGACTAAGATAAATTCCTTATTTCAGTTTCCTACACCCTAAGTTATCTATTCGAATCTATATGTATGTTAGATGTGCTAACTTAAGTTCTACGTTTCAATTCGACTGTTTTAGTTTTCCAAAATGTTTGATTAGTTTCATTGTCTTTATTATTCTTCTAATTTATATTTTCTTCGAGTCTAGTCTCTTATTCCATATCATCCATCCAACTACCTTGCCAGAAATCCGACTGCATCTCCTCTAAACCGGATATCCAAACAACTACCTATGCCAGAAAATCCGACTGCTTTCCAAAATGTTTGATTAGTTTCATTGTCTTTATTATTCTTCTAATTTATATTTTCTTCGAGTCTAGTCTCTTATTCCATATCATCCATCCAACTACCTTGCCAGAAATCCGACTGCATCTCCTCTAAACCGGATTAATCCCATTCAATTTCCACATGTAAACAATAAAAAGCATATATTTGTATCAACAATCAACACAGTCCATCCATCGAGCAAGAAATCAATGGTCAATTCCCATCCTCCATTACTTACAACTCTACTTACTAAACACAATTATAATGACTACACCTAAATACATTTCTCATCATCTCCCAATTTAAATCCACAAGCATTATGATTGCTTCTATATCTAACTCACCTATCCCAATTCATATGAGCCATAATATGCTAGTCTAAGTTCATTTTAAGTCTTTTACTAAGCAATTCCCATAAATTCTAATTGCGGAAAATGAGGTTAGTTAATTTCATCATTTAGGTTTGTGCTACTAAAAATCCAGCAGCGTATCCCCTAAAAATAGAGTTATCTACCTACTTAAACAATAGCAACATATCAATTATTCAATATTTCTGTTCATCCAATTCACAGGCCATCCTTCGGGCGAATCAACTATAAAATTCCCATCCGTCGATCCATTAACATTATAATTCTAGCATAATACCAAATTCAATTTGGTTTCACCTTAGCTCAACTATAGAATTGTAATTTAATCCATAATCTTAACATAAATTAACCAAAGTCAAATAAGCATGTTAGGTAAACATCCTGAGTCAATGATTATATAATTTCTCCTACTAAGTTTCTCAACTTTTTCAGCAATAGAATCTAACATAACAGGTACTTCATTTGTGTAATAATAAATTATACTCATTTAAATCTCAATTTTTATTTTATGAGTTAATTTATATTAACTAAATCAACTAAAATAAATTTTAACTAGACTAACTTGAATTAACTAGTTCTAATTGAATTTTTGCAAGTAAATACAGTGTAGGGACTTAGGGCTTACTGATTAAAAATCGGATTGAGGATTTGTGATCACCTCAAAAAGTGGAAAATTCTATCTCTTGGGTCCTTACCGGAGCGTCGCCGGCCGGTCACCGGAGGGTCGGTGCACGGCGGCTGAAAAATTGATTTTGTCGAAGAAGACCACCAAATGGCTCGAATTTCTCCTGGAGTCCATATCCGGCTTTAATTTGCAGAGAGGAGGAGCCCTTAAGTTGAAAATCACATCGATAGCCTCCTCCTTGCCGTCAATCATCGCGGATTCGCGGGACGAAGCTAGTAGCCGAAATTTATAGAGGGAAAATGCTCTCGAGGTGATGCGAAGGTCTCCCTAAAGGCCATCTTTGCCGGTAATGGCGAGAATCGCTAAAAGACGAGCCACTACAATACCAAATCCCATTACTCGCGATTCCCCTTGATCCAGGCCTTTATCATGAAAACTGTAGCCACAGGAGTGATTGCCTTGTCGAGCTCTTGAACTTAGAGTCCTTACTCGTCGGAAACAATGGCCGTTTGGCCGGAAAATGGGAAGGAAAGGGCGTAAGGGCGCTGTTGGCGATGGAGAGGAGAGATGGAAGTTGTCTTCTTGGCTTTCTCTCTCCTTGATTTGCTTTTTCTGATTTGGTTCATTTCCAAAGGTTTGGTTCAATTATTAGAAGCTTCTAGGTTTACTTGTTTGATTTATTACTTTATTTTATTTATTTATTAGAAAAGCTTCTTAGGTTTACTTTGTTTTGATTTATTTACTTTATTTTATTTACTTCTATTTATTAATTGGTTAATTAGCATTCTAGGAATTAGATTCTAGAATATTTCCTCAATTTAGTAAAATAATAATAATAATAATATTTGATTTTATGATAATTAATTTAAATAGTAGACACACACATATATATTTATAATCGATTAATAGTTAGAATTCCATATTTATTCTTGAAAATTTTTAAACTCAAGAAATTTTGAATCAAAAGATTTATTTCTTCTTGACATTAGTGTGGATTCATATAGCTGACTCTAACTACTTTGATATTAAGACTTTGCTAGTTGATAAAACTTCTAATCAACCCGTCTTGAACTTTCTGTGGCTTGGTGAACAAACCAATTTTTGAATGTCAATAAGTATAATATTTTGCTTTGTTTACAATTATACACACCATTAATGGTTCTTATGTCCAATAAAGTAACACTAAATTCTCAACCTTTGGCTTCTTCTTATGTGTGTATGATCTTCTTATTCCAATTAACTTCGTTTCCTATTGATACAGAGTCTGATTATCCAGGGTTATAAAATTCTGGAATTAATTACATCCTATATGCTAGCAGAAGGATTAGTATTTGTTCTCTAACCTACAGTTAGTTTGGAAGTTTGTTTTCTAATCTATTTGTGCTCCTTTAAATATCTTAAAGTTGTTGTAGATTAATGATCTTGTAATTTTTGGTTGTTGACTGTCAAACCTTGCATAATTTTGTCCTTTAATTGCAGTGTTCTTGTTCCTGACTTATTTCGCGGAGACGTATGGAGAAAAGACCGGCCAAAGTCCATGTTTGAATAGTGAATTAAGAAACAAGAAGCCAGCAGGATTGTGGAAGATATTGCCACAATAGCAAAATGGATGGTTGATGAACTTTTAGCTGTAGGAATATCAATGAAGCTTGGCATAATTGGATTATGCTATGGAGGAGGCTGAGTGGTGGACATGCTATCCGAAGACCAGGGATCTTGTTTTAGCACTGGGGTCCCTGTTTTATGGCACAAGGATTGATCCATCTATAGCTTCCAAAAGGTGCCAGTACTATTTATTTCAGGGGACGACGATCCTCTTTGCTCAGTTGATGTCTTGAAAGATCTCGAGAAGCGCATTGGTCAGGGATCCAAGGTAGTTACTTTCGAGGGAAGAGGTCACAGCTTTGCACATCGTCCTAACTCGCCCGAAGAAGATGAAGATGCAGAGCAGGCTTTTGCAATTATGAGAAATTGGCTAAATGATGGTTTGGTTTAAGAAGATTGATGAAATTTTATGTATGTTCACTGTGCATATCAAGCCTTGCTGCATCTATTAATGAAGAAATGGTGAAATTCTCTTTGCTCAGTTGATGTCTTGAAAGATCTCGAGAAGCGCATTGGTCAGGGATCAAAGGTAATTACTTTCGAGGGAAGAGGTCACAGCTTTGCACATCGTCCTAACTCGCCCGAAGAAGATGAAGATGCAGAGCAGGCTTTTGCAATTCTGAGAAATTGGCTAAATGATGGTTTGGTTTAAGAAGATTGATGAAATTTTATGTATGTTCACTGTGCATATCAAGCCTTGGTGCATCTATTAATGAAGAAATGGTGAAATTTCCATCACTCCATATATCTGATGCTGCATCTGATTTCTTTGTTTCAGGAGTTTGTTTGGCTGCTGCTTAAACGAAAGAACTGACTCGAGGAAGTCATCTACTTTGTCTATATTTTAGTTTTGTTGAGTCTGAAATGTAGACTACTAGTAAAGCTAGCATTGCAGGGCAGTGATGTTAGAATTCTGTATTAGGTTTATCAAAAGAAGGGAAATAAAACTTCATAATCTTTTCATTATGTCAAAAATTTAATAATCTTGTTTCTAAATTGCAAAATTTTAATAAAAGTTACTCCATCCATTCCACTCTAACAGCAACATTTATCTTTTCACAAAGATTAAGAAAGTGATTGGAACACATTGATTTTTTAAAATATAAGGTTAAATGTCTAAATTGTCCTTAAAATTAAAAACTCTTCATTAATTTTGCTCTAAAATACTTACTAAATATGAATAAAATTAAAAAAAAATAATTATTATACTCTTAAAATTCTAAATAAATATTTTAAAGTGAAATAAAATAGAATACTCATTCGTTATTAAAGTGGAACGGAGGGAATAGTACATGGACAAAAACTAATGATTTAGTTTGAAATGATTGGCATCAAACTTTAAAGCAAAATCTAAGACAATCTAATGTGCCATTTGTCTTTTCTAATGCTGATTCATTTAACATTATCTAAAATTTGAAACCTACAATATTCAATCTTAGAATTGGTAGCTCTTTAAAGCCTATAAATTTCCCCTTTTGTTTATGTTACACGTTTTATAAAACAATTTCAAGAAACTTTGTATTTTTACTGTGTTGTCCTAGAATTCAATTTTTAAAGTCAATACTTTCCTTAAAATGTGAAAAATAAGAAGTCTTAATAATAGAATTAAATAAAACTTTTAAAGTATATATATAAAATAAGAGTCTGTAATTAATCAGAATTAAATAAAACTTTTAAAGTAGTATATACAATACAAACTTTAGTAAATATATATATCTCGGGGTACATATAACCAACTACTAAAATTCTTTAGATATAAATAGCGAACGTGTGGCCATTAACTTTTTTTACTTTTCATTTTTATTAACATCATATATATATATATATATATATCTCGGTAATATACAATATAAAATTCTTGATATAAATACGACGGATAATTTTTTATTTTATTTTTTAACCAATAGAATTTAAATAAAAAACTAATATAATTAATCAAATTAAATTTTTTTTAAATACTAGGGAGACAGAACCTTAAGCAAGACAAAGAAAGTAGATTATGCTGACAATATTCAGGCCATAGTATATACACACATACATATATATATATATTCTTACTTTATCATAAGATTTTTCACTAACTTAATAAATTTTGGAGAGTGTAGCCTGTGTTATTTTGGCTTATTTAACATTCTAATAAATTAAAAATAGGCCAAATGACTAAAAATCTAAACTTTGATATTTTTATAGTTTTGACTAATTCTTTTAATTTTTTTCAATTGATATTATGAACTTTTTTTTTTAACAATTGTAGCATCCACTCATCTCCTGCCTAGAATTTATTTATTTTTATTCATAAGAAGATTCAATGGATTAAAATAACCCGATGGGCTACACAATAGAAGGTAGTCATTTTCTTGAGTTAACAAATTGGTAAAAACTCTTGTGATCTACAGAACTCGAATTCAAGACCTCCCACTCATCACATCTACTAAGTGATGTACTTAGTCATCATTAAGTGGTCTCCTAAAAAAACTTTGAACATTTTTTTTTTTTTTTTGTAAGCCTAAATTAATTTCACATGATGATAGTGTTAATTCGCGAAATTTGAATTGATATTAATATAAATATGAATAATTTTACTTATTAATAAATCTTTAGTAACATTCCGAAAAGGTAAATATCAGTGTTATTAAAAGGTCTAAGTAACTGACCAGGTTAAGACTGGGCTATGGTCATGGTTTAATTGGTTCTCATTATAAAATAAAAAAAATTATCTATGTATAAAGGTTCAAAGATGTTCCTCCTACGTTCATACTATTTTCTTCACCAATATTTAATAATAATATAAAAGAACAAATATGCAGTTACAACAAAGAGGGAACAAGATTCAATATCTAATTTTTTTTTTTTTGTTGTGCTGAATAAGGAAATTTTTTTTGGATGATCAACTTTGGAAAATTTCTGAAAATTTTTTATGAATTTCTCTTGACTAATTTTTGCTTAATTCTTATTTTTTTTTTCTAATTAATTTTTTTTGAATTTATTATATCTATTATGTTGCACTTAACTTTAAATGTTTTGTTTTTGCTATTACTCATTACTAATTAAATGGGAAAGTTATCAAGTGAAGGTATAAAAATCCTCATTTCTCATAATAAGCTTGAATTTTTTTTTATTGCAATTTTAAATTTTGTTTTTTAATATTTAACTAATTTTAAATAATTATATTGATTATTTTTGTTTTAAATTAATTATAGATTAAAATGTTTTATAATAGACTATGATATGATGTTTTACAGTTGAGAATTTTGAAATTAAACTGAATTCAAACCGAATTTCGTAAAATAGTATGGAATGAAATTTTAAATCCAAATATTTCGGAATGGAATCGGAATGAGGGTGATTTCATCCATACTGTCCGAATTACAACCCTAATAGGGCCAACAAGCACATAATACCAAGTTTAATCTTTGGTACTTTTGAAATAAATTTCTAAGTAAGAGTGTAATTAAAAAAACGGTGAAATATAGTAGACCAATGTTAATCTATAAGCAAATGTCACTCAGATTATTTGCATTGAAACGGTAGATTCACACTCTGCAGTATCATCAACGGCAATGATCTTGGCTTTCCTCTTTTTATTGTGGATTTTTGCCATTGTCGTCTCTGTTTGTGTATCTTGGTTTTGTTTGTATCTCTTTCTTGTGGATGTCTTTTTTTTTTTTTTTTTTTTTTTTTTTTTTCCACTTTCATATGTTTCCATTCTTCTCCGACTTTCACCTTCTTTCTTGGGGATTTTGCTTCCATTAACATGCTTTTACACTCCTATTTTTAGTAGATTTTTGCTACTTCATCTTTTCTTCCTTTTGCACTTTTGTTTTTCTTTCCTGGATATCCTTCCTTTTCCAGTGTATTCCAATATTGTCATAATCCATCTTCATCTTCTTCTGCTGTTTATCTCTTACCATCAATTATTATAATTTCATCTCCTCTCTTGCCAATCTTCTTGTACTTTCTCTGTCTTGTTCTGTTATTAATATCCACATAAAATTAATATTTAGAAGATGGAAAATATACTCCTCCATCCCATTTTGCTTGCTTATATTTCTTTTTTGGATGTCCCAAATATGTGCAAGGTGTTCTAAATTTTATATTTAATAATATTTTTCCGTAATAGCTTTTATAATTGTTTATTAAATGAATTACTTTTTATTAATAGCTTGATGAGTTAAGGGTAAAAAAGCATAAATAATTTTGTTTACTTAAATTTTTAATAATGCGCTGTTTGTCAGACATGCAAATAAAATGGACAAGAGTAAAGATTGTAATTTTTAACTTAAACAACTTTGTTGTCTGATTTGATCTTTTCAAAGTCATACCAAACTTTCTAATAAAATAATAATGATTAATCATACAATTATATGCATTATATAGATATTATTTACTATGGGGGTAAATATACTGTTGACATCTTGAGACAAGATTAAAAAAGTTGTGCCAGATGTTCGTATGATTTCTAAAAATTCTCACTCTTCTTTATTATTTCTTTGGCGCGTATCCTGCGTAGCCCAATTTGGCATTTTCTTCGTTGTAATCATCATTATCAATATTTTCCAACAATCCTCTTCATGAATTCGTTTTCTCTTCAACGAGCCTTTCTTCCTCTTTCTTCTGAAGGACTGTAAATTTTGATCATTTATATTTTAACATTGATAAATGACAATCATGAATGCAATCCTATATCATTGTAAGTATTAATAAGGATAAAGGAGCCAAAATGCATAAGTAGGCACTGAACTTTATGAAAATGTCTAATGGTACCATCAAATTTTTATTTTGACTCAATTGAAATATTTCACTATAAATGTTACAATTAAGCACTCTCACTTGAAATTATTGTATCGAATGCTCAAACTAAAAAATAGATTGATTAATATTCATTAAATACGAATGAAAATGGTTAAAATCATTATTCTAACTGCTGTAACCACCACAAACAATAGATAATTTAATATTAAAGACGAAATATGCATTCATTTCATATTAAGCCAAGCTGATCTTGAATAATAATGCAGTCATATCGAATTAAGATGCATTTTACTTGCAATCTTTTCTTCACTTTCCTCATATGCCTTTTGGCAGAAGTCCATACAATCAGTATTCATTAACCTCGCACCAATTGATCTGCACATGATGTCCGTTTCCTTGTGATAATAGTACTGCAACCAAGACATCAATTTAAATTAAAAATTGACAAAAATTTTTTTTCTTAATATTTTATCAGTATCCATGAGTCATTACTGGTGATGGAGCCATGAATTAAAGTTAATAGAGGGTTAGAAAATATCGAGAGTTAAGAGGGGGCCAAAATGACAAAAAATTACTAATTTAAAAAGATAAAAAGAACTTTTAATATTTATGGGTAATATTTTAATATTTCCAATGGAATGGATTTGAAAAGAAAAGAGAGATAACAAAGCAAACTTCTTGAAAGAAAGAAAAAAAAAAAAAAAAAAAGAAAAACCAGCGAAGCAAAATGCTAATACATCTCAATAAACGTAATTTATTATTTCAAAAATAAGCAAATATTTTTTTAAAAAAAGCTAGCAGTTTTAAAGTTGTTTTAATAACGAAAAATATGACCTGGTTCATCAATGACTGTAGAGAGAGCGTCTAAATTGCATTTACATAGAATAGTTTTGGTTAAATGAAACTAATATAAGGATGACTATATTGAATGATTTTTTTTGTAACACTAAAGGAATTTAATTTGCAATCAGGTGTGGATCTGGTTAGTCTTTATTCACTTATGTGAGGAAGAGATGTCCGAGTTCGAGTCCTTCAACCAACAAATATTTTAACCAATTTGGTGAATTCAGAGAGGGCTATCCTTATTGTGATAGCCGAAGTGTTACTTCGGCATTAACCTTTCCAATGGAATAAAAAAGCAATGTAATATATACAAATACATGTTTCCGGTATAATTATTCTACCCCCAAAATGCATTGCT